AAATAGTCCTTCCACAATGTTTTAGTTTCCGATACATTAGAATGTTATATATGCTTAGGCTCAATGTTACCTCGAGACATCTCATAAGCTTTATGTCAGAAAGCATTTGCTTTACCAAACTTTGTCTCTAATAAGTATACGTCATAAATATAAAAAAAATAGTTATTAAAAAAAATAATTAAATCAAACTGTAAAAGGATGCTAAATAATGACTCAAACTGGGCTTATTTTCCAATTTGATTGTAGAAGATCCATTTGTTTAAGAATATTTGTATGCAGTGTGGCCTCCTCAGAATCCCTTAATTCATTAGTGTCCATCATACTGTCTGGTTTCATGTTCCCAAATCTCAATTAAAGCTCCCAACTTCTTAAGGAGTCTAGTGTCTTGATTCTGAAAATGTTAATGACCCCTCAACTCTATACTTAATGACAGTTAATGACATCAGTACCACATCTAATCAAGAACCGGGAATGGAAAATAGAATACATTCTCTTTCAATATGGTGATAATATATTATATATTAATCATGAGACAAGCGTCATATAGAACTAGAATGTGTCATTATTTTTATTTTGAACATTTTTAACGCTGACACAGAATATTTTAAATCTGTCCATAAAGCTAACAGAACCATAAAAGACAGTGATTGATAAGGAGTGGCCTAGGGGTGAAATAGCTAATAAAACCGCTATGACCACGGTAAGCTGAAATTGAAATACCTTCTACAGAGAATATAAAATTGAAAAAGAAAAACTAAAAATAAAGTCCTCTTTAGTTTTTGTTCACATTGCCCTGTTGCCTATGTACTCAAGCATATGTAGAAGACGTCTTAATAGCACAGTAAAAAAAAAAAAAAACTTTGATTTGCTTCATTTTACAAAATACTTATAATATTTGAATATTTTCTCATTTTTTAATTATGATCTCTCTCAGAAGATGCAACACGTGTTGATAAGGAGTTCCAGCAAACAGCCAGCGTGATTATGCATTCCATGTAAACTGTATGGAGGCATATGTATGTCCTGCTCATTCTAAGATGCAATGCAGAATTAATCATAAGGTGACTCAGGGCCTGGGGTTATACAGGGGCACAGAACCCATGAACTTGCTGGGTCCTATTAACCATCTCAATGTGAAGAACGAAGGGGGGTGCAAACTGGTTACATGCTTAGGGCCCCATGGGATCTTAATCCTGCTATGCTAAGCAAAAGAGTTCATCTAGACCAGTGGTTCCCAACCCAGTCCTCAAGTACGCCCTAACAGTCCAGGATTTAGGGATTGCCCAGTTGTATCTAAAGTGTTTTTAGAAAAAAACAAAAAATACTTTAGACACAACAGGGTATTTGGCACCCGGGGCGGGTCCTATTTTTGACACACCACCCCCCACCCCCCCTCAACTTTAAATGTAAAAAACAACCACATTTTTTTTAATGTATTTAGCACTGAGCAGTGTTTGTGTGTGAATGTATGCATGTTTTTGTATGGAGTATATGTGAGTGAATTTAGTGGTGTGTTTGTATGTAGTGTTGGTTTTTGAATGCAGTGATGTGGTTATATATAATGGTGAGGTTTGTATGTAGTGTCCACGTTGAAATGCATGAGTGTATTTGTGTGTAGTGTTGGCGAGATTTTGAGATGTCTGCACATATACACATACACGGACATACACACATGCAGATACATATACACACACGTAGAAACACTGTGCTCTGCATGCTGGCATCTGACAACACATCTGCATATAATTCACATTAGCCACCCAGATTTTTTGTTGTGGGCTGGCTGACACCTCTTAACTTCGATCTTTGTTTAGCAGATAACTCTCCTATTTGCTATCCTTATGTGGGCTTGCAATATTTAAGGGCACCAAATAAGGGAACTATCTGCTAAACAGCACCCTCTTTTGGTATCTTTAAATATGGAAATCTCGCAGACGGGCACCAATTCAGGGAATTATCTACTAAACAGCTAAAGGATCAAAATTAAAAAAGCCCTTTTCTTATTTTCATTTGTTTAGTAGATAAATCCCTTATTTATCCTTATATTAGATTGCAATATTTAAGGACACCAAATAAGGGAGCTATCTACTAAACACATACACAGAGATACACAATCACAAACATAATCACAGATATGCACAAACACAATCACAGACCCACACACATACAATCACAGACACACAATCACATACACACACAAACATTACATACATACACACATTTAATAAATAAGAGGTCCACCCAGCCTCCCTACCTTTCTCTAGATGGCTGAAGTGGATCCTTAGTCCCTGGTGGTCAGTGGTTGCTGCTGGGATCTCTCTGCTCTTCCTGTACAGGTCCCTCACATGCCCTGTAATGACGCCGAGGCTGCAATGACACCATATCCCGGCTGCCGTCTCACTGCAGGGCGAAGACCGTCAGACACAGTCAGATGCACACAGTCCCACACACAGTCACAGGCAGACAGTCACACACACACAGTCACAGACAGTCACAGACAGTCACACACACACACGCACGCACGCAATCACAGGCAGATAGTCACACAGGCAAACAGTCACACATACACACAGACAGTCACACACACACACAATCCCAGCCAGACAGTCACACACACACACACAATCACAGGCAGACAGTTCCACATACACACACAGTCACAGACAGTCACACACAGTCACAGGCAGACAGTCACACACACACACCATCACAGGCAGACAGTCTCTCACACACACACACACACACACATGCAGACAGTCGCACACACAGTCACAGACAGTCATTAAATAAGGGAGATATCTACTAAATACATACACAGAGATACACACAATCACTCACATAATCACAGATATACATAAACACAATCATAGGCAGACAGTCACACAGTCACACATACACACAATCACAGGCAGACAGTCACACATACACACACACAGTCATAGACTGACAGTCACACACACAGTCACAGTTACACACACAGTCGTCACACACTCACAGACAGTCACAGTCACACACACACAGACAGTCGCACACACACAGTCGCACACACACAGTCGCACACACACAGTCACACACACACACAGACAGTCACAGTCACACACACACACACACACACACACACACACACACACACACACACACACACACACACACACACACACACACAGTCACAGACAGACAGTCCCACACACACAGAGTCACACAGACAATCACAGGCAGACAGTCACTCACACAGTCACAGATAGTCACACAATCACACACACAGTCAAAGACAGTCACAATCACAGTTACACACAGCACACACTCTCTCTCTCACTTACAGTAAACTGCGGTCAAGGAACGGTCACAGGCTGACAGTCACACACACAGTCACAGACAGTCACACACGCGCACGCAATCACGGGCAGATGGCCACATACACACACAGTCACAGACGGTCACACACACAATCACAGGCAGACAGTCCACACACACATCATCACAGGCTGACGGTCTCACACACACACACACACACACAGTCACAGACAGACAGTCACACACACACACAAACACAGACACGGTCACAGACAGTCCGCACACACTCACAGACAGTCACACACACGCAGTCTGAGGCAGTCACACACACAGTCACAGAACAGTCACACAAACACACAGTCACAGACAGTCCGCACACACACACACACAGTCACAGACCAGATGGTCACAGACAGTCACACACACACACACACACACACAGTCACAGACAGACAGTCCGCACGCACACACACGGTCACAGACAGTCACACACACACACACAGTCACACACACACACACACACACACAAAGTCACACAGACAATCACATGCAGACAGTCACTCACACAGTCACAGATAGTCACACACTCACACACACAGTCAAAGACAGTCACAGTTACACACAGCACACACACTCTCTCTCACTTACAGTAAGCTTGGGCTGGAGGAGGATTGGATTCAGTCCATGCTGTGCTGTAGTTGGGGAAGCTGGGACTCCTTCCTGCTTCCCCTCTGTGTGATCAGAGAGAGGCTGCATTTAGCTCCGCCCCGCATCCAGATTGGCTCCGCCCCACTGTCATTCTAGCTCCGCCCCCAACTCTCAGTGCAGCCAGCTTAGCCAGGTTACCTGCTCCTGCTCCCAGCCCCTATGTGTGAGCTGTGTCAGCTGCCCCGCCCCTGCTGCTATGGAGCCCGGTGCAGCCACACAGCTCACAGACTCCCAAGCCTGGCCAGCTCTGGTGGCACCTGACTGCCTGATGGCACCCGGTGCGGACCGCACAAGGTAACCACTAAATCCTGGACTGTTAGGGGGTACTGGAGGACTGGTTTGGGAACCCTTGATCTAGATCATGGGTCGTCAACCTGGTCCCTACCGCCCACTAGTGGGCGTTTTAGGATTCCAGGTGGGCGGTAGGGATTTCTGAGGCTAAATCCTCTTTTTAAGAGGATTTCTCCTTTTGGGCGGGCGCGAGCGGCTCTGCATGCGCAAGTCTTCAGTGACCGGCAGGAGGAAGCGCTCCCTCCTGCCAGGCCACCTTCTGGACCCCCCGGCATGGCAGAGTTCTAATCAGTCGCGGCGAGGGAGCTCTAACCTCTCTGCTCTGCTCCCTCGCGCGATGTTTGCTGATGCCGCGGGAGCCGGAATATGATGTCATATTCCGGCTCCCGGCATCCGTAGACAGTCCGCGAGGGAGCAGAGAGGTTAGAGCTCCCTCGCTGCGTCTGATTAGCCGCCCGCCTAAGTGAAGCCCCACTGGACCCCAGGGACAGATCCACACCAGCTCTCCAGGTAGGGAGGCTGGGTGGATATTTAATATTAATAATTTGTGTGTACATGTGTTTGTCTCTAAGTGTATGTGTGTGTGTGTGTACATGTGTTTGTCTCTAAGTGTATGTGTGTGTGTGTGTATGTGTGTGTGTCTGTAAGTGTATGTGTGTGTGTCTGTAAGTGTATGTGTGTGTGTCTGTAAGTGTATGTGTGTGTCTGTGTCTGTAAGTGTATGTGTGTGTCTGTGTCTGTAAGTGTATGTGTGTGTCTGTGTCTGTAAGTGTATGTGTCTGTCTGTAAGTGTATGTGTCTGTCTGTAAGTGTATGTGTCTGTCTGTAAGTGTATGTGTGTGTGTCAGTAAGTGTGTGTGTGTCTGTGGGTCTGTCTGTGCATGTGTGAGTGTCTGTAAGTGCATGTGTGAGTATGTGTATATTTGTGTGTATGTGTTTCAAT